AGGTGGTCGATCTCCAAGATCAGTCTTTGTCACGTGATAAAGATCGCTTCTGTCATGTAATTGGCGGAAAGTATAAAAGTAGGATCGAATCAGATTTACTCCGTGAATGAAATTGCTCATAAAACGGCAAAATGGAAAAATGCACGCACGCCACATATTCTTGCCGTGCAATCTCACAAAATTGTCTCTTAATACTTAGTTTTTTCTGTCAGTTTATTGGATATTTTAATAATGTTTTTACTTACTATTTATAAGTTTAAATATCTTTCATTTTGACAGTAAAACATATTTCTTTGCTCTCAACTATAAGTTTGACTTTAACTGCCATGTTTAATCTTTTTGATCGGACTCAAACGATCCTACCAAATATTTTATACGACAATAGTGGAAACTCTTGTAAAGTAGCATGTACCGTAGTGGCGACAGCGCGAATTAGTGCCATTCTAACGGTTCGAGCAGAATACTATCACCACAGACCATATAAAATCTTAACAAAATTTGATAAAATATTTATTTCGTTGCATTTTTTGTCTTTATTTTATTATCTTAAAACATGAATTATAACTTTCTTTAATAGGAAACGTGGATAGATGGTGATTTAAAGGAAGGAATAATACCAATAAAACAAATCAAATGCAATAAGAGTGAGATTTTTTAAATTAAAATGTGAGGTTTTAATTTTATTAAACTGAAACAATTTTTAAAATAAAACATTTTTACATTAAATTAAAACACATTAAACACAGTGCATTTTGATATACATGATATATTTATGTGAAAAGTTTGATCGTACAAGTCATGGATAACACAATTATTAAATATGTGAAATCTTTAATTTAGCATTTTTTGTTCTCAGAAAACTTCCAGATAAATCATCATTTTTTGTCTCATATGCTTTAATAAGGACTTTGAAATATTTATATGCCAATAATTTAATGCAGTTGTCACAGACACCGTTAATGTTTGCATTCTTTAAGAAATAATTAATTTAGTTTTAATTCCACATGTGCTCTAACAAAAATACAGTATATTATTAATAAAATTGTTCTGAAATATTTCTGATATTTGTGAAGATAAGTTTTTCCCACACTCGTTTGGATACAGCATTCTGCAATTTTAATATTTTTTCATTTCTATATGAAAATTTTTCATATCATAATCATTATTAAAAGATGATAATACATTTTTACATTCGGTATGGATTAATTTGCTACATGCCCATCCCATGTTTAGGGAACCTGTAAAACGACTTGCGATCACTTTGTATTTTGTAATTAAAACAGCCATAGCGCAAATAACACCTCTTCCGGCCATTCTAATTATTGTGAGATATAAGTTCAAAACTTTGTTAATACCCAAAAAACGTCTCCTTATACACGCGGTACAAATGAAGTGAAGTGTAGTTATGTCCTCGAACCACTAGATGGCGGTCAGAAGCTTGTCGCCAGTTTCCACTATTGTCGTATAAACTATTTGATCCTACCTTCCTCTCAGATTAATTTGATTGCGATCCAGTTGATCCTAGATGGCGTTTGTATACGTGGATAGAGATTAAGGAACTTGCTGCTGGCTTATTTTATTATGATATGTACGAAAATAAACATGATAAACATGAAAAGCAAAATTCATATATGAAAATAAAGTTTGTTCTATACTTGACATGGGGGAAAAACAGAGTTATTAGGCTTTTCAATTATTATTATGTTTTTCATAATGTAAACAATCACAGGAACTGTTCACTCAGTATTCGACCAGCGGGTTACACGATCGTTTATGGCGGTCGACAACTGGGTTTTCATTTATCAAGAGCCTTACAAATGTAGCAAATATGAAAGGATAAGCAAACTCAATAAGAGTTTTGCAGAAAATACACACTTGAAACACGAAGATCTTGCTATTTTCTAAACACCTGACAATGTCACTACATGGTCGACTACCACAAAGAATGCTGCACAATAATTTTTCCCATCACATAGACTGACAACCCGTTATTCTTACGTCATTGAGAATAGGGTCGCCTTATGATGTTTCCTGTGAAGATGGCTTGCCTAAACCTGCTCCAATGGACTAATTACGCAAGGATTGTTGCTTTCATGGTAGACTGCTGGAAGCGGTTGGCAATGAAGTCCCCACCCTAAAGATGATTAATTAAATTATAGCCTTAATATACAGCCCGAAAATCCTACAGATTATTCGGCACTAATTAAAAATCGGGTTAGTGATTTATTCTTATACTTAGTTGTATAACTGTACAAAATTGAGGTAGATGCCAGGTTAGGATCTACATAGGGACTAATAGGGCTTAAGCCTTAAGCCCTGGGTCCCAGTGTCAAGGACCCACAAAAATTTAGAATTATCATCATACATTTTAAATACTTTTTCATTAAAAATAAGCACTTATTGTATAGTAAAAAATAGTTGATATTAACAATATAATAATAATGATAATTTATAGTAGACTATTGTTTTATTCTTAATCTAACAAAAAATGGGACCCCATTAGATTTCAATAAGTCCTAGGCCCCGAAAAACCTAGAACTGCCCTGATTGGATGACTTAATGAGGTTTTAAATAATTTACATATATGTAACACAATTGAAATGTATGTAAATATTTACTATAAACCAGCAGTTCCAAAAGTTTGCCGCAGCTTCCTCACAGGGGTGCCACGAAATGTCATAAAATTTTTAATGTTGGAATTTAATGTACTTATTAGAATTTGACATAGGGTGCTTTGGAAAAATCAGCATTTAGCAAAGGTGTCTAGAATCAAAAAAGTTTGGGAACCACTGCTATAAACTGTTGACTTTGAGTATTTTGGAGTTTTTCCTGTCATGGTTGAGGTATAGAAATATAAATTATTTTGAGTAATCTCTTAAAATAAAATAACAAATGTTTCAATATTTTAGATATCTAATGCTTATATTCAAATCCATATTATTGATATAATTTATACTCAATTTATTCTCATTGAAAATATAACTTGAATACTTCTTATCACGTATATAATTATCAGCATCACTTTGCCATAGTATAGAGTATTTGCTCTTGTATATATGGGATTCTCTACATTAGAAGTTTCCAAGAAATATGAGAATGGTAAATTATGTTTTTGTAATTTAAGTATTTTTCATATTTACCATAACTATAAATCTGTATTCAAACACAGATATAAGTACATTTTGATGTATGCTGATTCATTTATTTTTNATGTTTGGTTGTGGTGATGTCATTTTCCAAGATGACAATGCATCTTGTTCTAGGGCTTAATCTGTCAAAAATTTTCTTCACTAACAATACATCAGCACAAGCATTGCATCCAGAATATTTTATATTTGCTATAATTACAAATGTAAAATATTTTGGATGCAATGCTTGTGCTGATGTATTGTTAGTGAAGAAAATTTTTGACAGATTAAGCCCTAGAACAAGATGCATTGTCATCTTGGAAAATGACATCACCACAACCAAACATATTTTCAATGGAAGGAACAAGAAAGTTTTCCAAAATGGAAACAACATATACCTGGATATCAACATGAAACCCCAAATAACAACCAAGCTAGGAAATTTTGTCATTTTCTTTAGGTAGCCATCCTTATAAGCTATATCAGAATGGCACCAAACAAGTTTCAGCATCATCTCCATGATTAATACAAATTCTTGACTCATCACTAAATATCACTTTAATCCAGTCGTTTACAGTTCCTGATTTCCTTTGCTTTGTCTATTTGTAAGTTTGCTTTCTTGTTTTAGTGTCAGTGATGGCTTTCTTTTTGCTTTTGTATATGAAATTCCTATTTATTTTAAACGATTTCTCACTGTTCTGTTACAGATACTAACCCTTGCTTCTTTCCAATTCCTATTCATCTCTTGTTGTACATTCTCTACAAGTCAACCCCCGCCCGGCACACATGTAATAATTAAAAAAAAATTTATCTTTTAGTTGACTGATGAGGGGCTTTATGCCCGAAACGTGCTGTTGTCACATATCAACTAAAAACTGATATAAATAAACACTTGGCTTTATTTCCAATTCACAATTTGAGTTCGAAGTCCAACAATCATATATTTATTTAACACTGAGCATCGAGTGCAACAAAAGGCTCGACCAGAATCCGAATATTCTTATAATACAGCCGCCATTATTTATTTTCAACAAAGTCTTTGATAAATGTATTATAAATTGTTATCGTTTTATTTTAAAATTTATGTAACTAATATAATTTTACTTGCAAACATATCAACCTCTGGTCCGAGGGGACTCTGGATTCCGTGAAGAGGTGAATCATGACTAGAAAAGAGTGATGTCACTGTTCTATGACGTATTCCTGCAAAGTATAGTGAAAATAGTCTTACTCGAGAAAAATAAGTCGTCCGGAAACACGCCAAGTGGCGTGGTTGAAACAAGCGACAATTATGAGTAGTCACGTGACGGCGACATAAGGACAAGTCACATGTTTTGTATAAGTCTGTTCTCCAACGTGCGACGCCACGACAAACTTAATAAATGGCGGCTGGAAAGCTTAGTTCTAGTTCTATGGTATTTTGTGTATAACACACTTTGTACAGCTCGCCGGAAAATCATCTGCGTGTTTTCGAAACGTCCATCAACTTTGTCTCTTTAAATTTTTTTTTTTAAGTAAGCGCGAAATGATCTCTCTATATAAGTTACCAGTTACAATGTAGCAAATGTAATACGTTAAACGTGTTAACAGAAATTTCAATCTCAAACAATTAACTCCATAAGATTTAAAAAATCAACTTCCAAGAAATTTACAAAAGTATTTATTTCATGTTTGATAATTTCAAAATAAAAACAATTAAAAATTAACGTTAAATATACCAGTTATAAATAACATATGTAAAATAGAGTTTACAAAATACAATGAATCTGCCTTTCAGCATGTTCAACTACCTATGAGATGGACCGGGTATCGAGAGGGGGGGTCTGCTGATTCATTAAAATCCTCTAAGGTCCCCCTTATATATTATTTTATCTCGTTCGGTAATGGTGCATTTCTCGATTCGTACGAAAATTTCACTCTGAGAACGTCGTCTTTTAATTTCTTCTCTTCTTCCTTTAAATTTGAATTCTCTTCTTTTGATTAAGAAATCTCTTTCTTCGTCTGTTTCGTGTCGTTTTTCAACTTGTCAATTAATTTCTTCAACTTACATTTACAATTGTTTTCCCGTTCAATAAGTTTCAAGTATTTTCTCCTCCGTTGCATGTATTTCATCTGGCATAGTCTGTATCCGGCCAGTCGAAAGAAACCGTTTAGTTCCTCAATCGATCGCCTGATCAGCTCGTCGTCACCTAACATACGAAATTCAATGGTAGCATTTCCATTCCGTTGATTTTCCTGCAGAAATCAATATATATATATATATAGTTTCCCCCAATAAATAAAGAAATATATAAGTTAAGTAAAATGAAACTTACCATTTTAGACGAAAATTATTTTCAGTTATTTATGGAATAACTAAAAATGTACACGAAGTTCAGTACGGGAGAGCAATACTAAATTGCTTCTTAAGCTTAGTTCACACTGAGCGCGATTCGCTAGCGAAAGCGAAAAACAGCGCGAATAACCGGTCAAATAAAGCCTGGACTTTACATTACCTGAAAACAGAAACTCAGAAACAGAACTGAAACTTATAGAGTTTTCGTTTCAGTTATGTTTTCGTTTTAATTTGACTCCACTAGAAATGTGCCATCTGTTGGTCAGTTCTGTAATTGTCGTAGTCAAACACGGACGACGCTACGGATTTTGCCACGCTTTCTCTGCATTTATTAACAATGAAATTGTAAATAATCTTTGAATTATTTACATTTTTTGAGGTACAGACATCTGTATTTTCTAACTTCTTCGATGAAGAATTCTAAATCTATTTGTTTCCTCATCGTTTTCGCTACACTTTCCGCCATTACAACAATCAAACTATAATGCACGTGACTACGCGTCACAAATCCTTGCGTTTTTATTGGTTGCAGTACGACAGAAGCGCGGAACGAAAACAGAAAAGTTAAATAATTTTTAACTCTGCTTTCAGTCTTGTTTCTGTCCAACTGAACATTAAAAAACTGAAAGTTTCGTCAGTTTGGCTTTCAGTTTTACGATTACGTCGCGGATTCCGGTAATGTGGAGTCCAGGCTAACTGTGTACCAAATTTCTGCTCTTTAGGTCCAGCGGTTTGCTATGGGCGATGATAAATCAGTGAATCAGTCAGTCAGGACAAGCAATTTTATATATATGGATTGCTGAACTTTTGAAAGATTACGCAAATCATAATCTATCGGCCACTATTGACATATTTGACGGTAAAAAATTTCACGAAAATTAGTTTTCATTAATACGGTTATATGCAATATCGAATCGGTAAGATTAATCTAACTAGTTTTTTCGTGCCACTCACCCGTTATTCAATTATCTTTTCGATTTCGATGATTTAAGTGGGTTATCTTGTTAACGTTGTCCAAAAATTAAAATTATAAAAATTCTAAATAAATTAAAATAAATTAATTTACGATAAATATTCGTAGAAATATTATAAAACTTTTTCTGCACTATGATTAGTTAAATAGAAATATAGAGCTTACGATAAAGCAATTTTGATTGTTTTGACTAAAAATGGCTGCTAAAGTGTCATTGGCTTAGTATTTATATATATACACATACACATATACATAGGCTCTTAAAAGTCGGCGGTTAGGCCGCCATCTCATGATAAATTTAATAATTATAAATACAGATACAGTACACATAATACGAATTGTAACGTTTTATTGCATAAAGGAAAATAACACAACTCTTAACTCATTCGCACCACAACTTCTGTTTATTGGCAGTTCATAAACGTCTTTGCTGTTTTGTTAGCAAAGGATCGTCATTGCGAATTGTATTTGGCGTTTGTTCCGAGAATATACTGTGCATGAGTAAATTCTCTTGAATAAAACAGGCTATTTTAGCGTTTTATTATTTATTTGCTTTTTCCTCTAATTTTTCCTTAATATAAAACAAACTGTACAAATTTATTGCGATTATCGAATATACAATAAAAAAAGTAATTTGATAAACAATCAAATCGGATGCTCTTAATTATATTTATTTTACATCATCTTTTCTGGATGTATAGCATGTTGCATTTACACAAAATCTTTTTCCTAAATGATAAATTTGTCAAAACCAATATGTTTTGCGTGACGTGACACGAATTTCCAGTGAGTGATCACACTAAACAGATTAGTAACACGTGTTATCTTCAACATGTTCGTGTTGTCACTCGCATAACTCGACACTAATTATCCTGCAAGGACTTAGATCGAATGAATCCTTCTGGATTCTCTTTTGTACAGATTCTGATAATGACTTCAATGCATATTGTATGTGGGTGATTGGAAATCTTTGAACAAAGAAACGAATTGTTAGTTTGTAAAATAATATAGAGACAATTTAAGACAATTTTTTAAATTAAAAAAAAAATAGACATTCCTTATAATACATTTACGATCATCATAAATTGTAATTGGAAGTATATTCAATTATATTATTTGAATATGTTAACAATTCTATTTAAATACAGGTCGATATAAGAGAAAATAAGACTAAAGTATGTCTAGTTACGTTAATAGGCAAATTAATACGTGTAAACCATTAGTAATTGAGCAAAGTTTGCTCGACTGTAGTTGAGGACCGAACCCCCGTCTTTATTTAAATGAGTCAAGATGTTAGCTATTTATAAACAAGGTCCACGTGGACAGTATAAAAAAAATTAAAATATTAAGGAAACATAGGTAAAAAGAACAATGAATTTTTAATATTGGTCCGACCAAAATGAGGTCACTAATGTCATATGGTTCAAACTATTGTTCTAATAAGGCAGCCGGTTCTGACTCATGTCGATTCATGCTTTAGTCAAGCCTTTNTAACAAATTAATTGTTCTAAATTAGAAATATATTTAACTAATAAAAATGATTTTGGACAAACCTAAGTAGACCTGCTTCGTTGCAAGCAACTTGAAAGAAACGAAAAATAATTCTACGAGAGTGTTGGTCTTATTTAAATACTATAGCTGAAGTCATGTGATCATGACCCGTCAACCGGTTTGTAACTAATGACTTGCTGACTAGTCGAGCCTTTCGAAGAATCGACCATTAACAGGATTTACGTTTATTTAAAAATGATTAAATTTGGCCATTAGTTACTCGATTGTCTTCTGTTTTATTAGAGTTTGAGTTAATATCCTGCACATGTTTCTAATCTTGTGTGTTTTTAATTTTTCAAAATAATAATTAAATAATTCTTTTTTAATTTTTAAAGGATAATTATTCTTCAAATATTTAAGTTTCATCTTATTGCTAATTTACATCAAAATCGAAGATCAGAATGACATTATTCACTTTCCTGAATTTGTAAAAAACTTCAATACTTACTTATTTTCTTTAGAAAAGACTAAAATCGTTAGATATAGTCTGCACGCCGAGTTTATGGGAATAATAATGTCTGATTCGTCCTAAAATACATAGTTACAAATTTTTCTAAAGATATTTTTAATTTACTGAATAAGAAAATATTTTGTTTTTAATGTATTTGATCAGCCAAACTTTTAATTCTTCGCTTCTTTGTGAAAGCGGTAACTATTACTTTATAATCATTCGATGTTAACGATTATATTTTACATAAATAAATAAAATTATTTTTATAATATTTCATACTTCGATATTTCACTGTCTTGTGAGAGATATTCGCCTAAAAATACGATATCGGCAATTTACTCGTTATACTAACTATTACATTTTTATTGCTATTTTATTCTTGAATTTTCATGTTTATTTCACGTTTTGAATCGAACAGCTTTACTTCGTTATGTTTGTCATTGTTCCAAAGAATTATTCCAAGAAGCCATTATGAAGCACCCTAATCTTCTAGCACCTGTTTGTCATGATGAGTCAGGAAATTTATTCACGTGTTAAATGAAAGGCAGTGTTGTCTTAAATTCTGATATTTAAAAACAATGACTGTTTTAACCTATATAAAATGACGAATATTATTTCTAAGACATGTGAGTTTATCTAAAATCTCTTTGTGAAAATGCAATTTAAGTATTTGTAGAAGCGAACGTATTATAAGCTCTCACAAAAATAATACATTAGCCATATAATCATATAATAATTCTATTATTACATTGTTATATACTATTTGATAATCAATATTATGTGTAGTAAAACTGATTATATTCAGAATAATCGATAGAATATTGAATTTAGTCATAATGCTATAAAATGGTTGGATAAGAAATGATTATGGTTAATTTTAATCAAATTTTGGTACTTTATCTGCCTAATAACAGTTGCATTCATATACTCATGTTGTTTTCCCGGTCCGTTTACTATTGTAAGTCACACGATGACAAAAGAATGACTAGCAGAATTAGCATTGATTTGAACAAGAATCTCTCTTTCAAGTAACTGTGTTTCGGTTGTACGAGACCGTAGACAAGTCCATACTTCCGAGGCTCTTTCTTTAAAATATTACATAGTAAACAGGCCATGTCAATGATATTTTATATCGTACAAGGTGTAGGATTCTAACTATTACTTCGAGCAAGTCCAAATATCCATAAATTTATATTTAGAGGCTTCTAAAAGCACGAGCATTATACTATAGTTGTTTTGTTTGTTTTTTACTTCAGTAATTTAGGATTGTATGTGAAAAATATTTTATTTTGCATAAAATAAAAAGTTTCAAGACCATTCAAGACAATGTACGTTAATTTTATATGAAATACATGGTATTAGGCTAGAAACATTATTTGCACATGCATTATTTTATATAAAGTATTAATCGCATATGTATACACTTTTTATTAAAGATTAAAATATTAAATCGCACGTTTTAAACACTTGAATTGGATTGATTTTATTATTGCAATCTTCGCCATTTATCTTATCAATTAAGCTTATAATAATTTAACGATTTAAGTATGCAGAAATGATGCAGATCGGACTTTACTCGTTATTAAATGTTAATAACAAGTAAAGTCCGATTCTAATGGAAAATGAGTTTTAAAAAAAAAATTGTAAATGTTACAATTTTTTTATAAAACTCATTTTTACCATCAAAATTAAGCTTTCTGCCATTTTATAATAGTTATGATAAAAATATAAAAAGCTTTTTTAAATAAAGTAACAGATTCCGGGAAAGTTAAGTAACTCGTTGCTGGAATTATTACTTATTAAACGGAGAGAATCAATCGATATGTATCTGTTGTAAATGTGTTTTTGACATAAATCTTGTTCTTATACTTTGCCTTCTAATATAACAATGCCAAAAAATTATTTATACATTAACAGATAACGAGGTTTTAATCTATAAGTCGAAGTATAAGGATTAAAAATTCCCGAGTTCGAGTTGACGAGTTTAATATCTAATTTTTCTCAAAATTTTCCGTGCCCGTAAATTTTCCCTTATAAAGCCGTTTTTCAACAGTTTGTTCATAGAATAATTACAAAATTTTATACAATTTATGATGCTTTTGCGTAATCAATTTTCAATTAGAATGCCGTTATAAGAGAAAATGAAGATCGTGGACCTAC